CCCAACACACCCCCAAGGGAGCCACAACTTCCACACAGCAAGTTCTCTATGCCAGAACATTCCCATGCCACTCTGGCGTCATGGCTGACATTCCCAGAGCCTCTCCTTACCTCACGTTCCTTGCGCCATTCACTCTCCTTCAATTCCAGCTCCTCCCGGGCCCTCATCCAATCCGCCGTCAGTTTCCCAACATCTTCTTTGAGGGCTGAATTAACTTCATGAGCTTTCTACTGAGGCAGAAAACAGTCTCAGCTTCATGTACAAAAAAAAGACCAGGCTTTGAGCTGTCCGTTTTCACTCGAGGGTCATTGCACAACTGCTGTCCAAGCAGTGTCCCTGTGATTTTCCAACTCCCTCAACACTGACTCTGTTATCAAACTGAGGGGCAGTAAAAGTCCTTTCTAGGATTAACTGAGACCTCTCTGTGATGGCAAATTCATTTGCTTCTCCGTGCTTTGAGCCTTCAATTTCCATCTACAATTTTGGTTCTCCCTTCAACTTTGGTGACACCCACAGTTGGGGTATTGCCTCCCCTTTACGCTGCCTGATCACCACCTTTCACGAGCATTGTCCTGAGTCACTCACCCACGGAACCCTGGAATAATTTAGGCTGGAAAGGGACCTTTGGAGGTCACCCAGAACAAACCCCCACTCAAAACAGCCATTCAGCAGACAACGCTATGACTGCACCACTGAAAACAGACTGTGGACGTTTCTCCTTACAAAGCGGTTTGTCCAACCACTTCCCTTGGGCAGACTAGGGAGCACCGACAGCTTTTCCCTCACTTCCATGAGCATCCAGGATCCCAAGTATGAGGGAAAGCTTCTCCCTTGTACCTCTGCTGCTCTTCTTCCAATTGAAGCAGGGCTTTCTCCAGGCTCTGGTCTTCTGTGGCTTCCCACCTGCCTGGAAGAGACCCCTTAAGAAGAAAGGAAATGTTTAGTCAAATTCTTGTGTTCCCTTCACTGCTGTTGGCATCCATCGCTCTCCCCTCTCTTTGCTGTGCGTTTCAGGAGCTCGTGGATTCTTCTGAGCACAACAGTGTTGTGACTACAGAGAGGAATGGAGGATGAGGCTGATACTTGATGTGAGCAGCTCTCCTCAGACTCCCACTGTTGCACTCTCACAGCTCGGTAACCTCAGCTCAGGAGCGTGAGTGCTCACTTCACCTTGAAGCCTGGGAATGCTCTCCTACTCTCCTACCCTTCGTTTCCTACATCTACTTTAGCCGTGAAGCAGAAGAAAAGCACAGAGCCAGCTCTGTACGTTGAACGCCAGCATTCCGGCCTTCCAAAATGCTGCATTTCAACTGATTCTTTTTCAGAGACACCCATATAATGCAACTGGCAGTAGAGCCCTCTCCTGAGGCCTCGGACAAATGTTACTCCAGCCATAAAGCACTTTCACAAAACTAAAAGCCTTCTTGACAGGGTTTTCTGGACTGGTGTTTCTGGGCCTCCTGGCTGCTCTAAGAATGGCAACCGGACAAAACACTGACGGCCAAACTTACAGCGAGTGCTTCTTTATACCCTCAGAGAGCAAAATCTTGTTTTCTCCTGTCCCAGCTTTGCGGAGCTTTTTTTGTCCGTGTTAACGAATGCTACGTGCACTGTCCTTAGTCAGCAACCGGCACACTCACCCCTCCTGCTTCCAGCCGCTGCTCCAACTCTCGACACCGCGTGCGGTACTGCAGTACCTAGATGGATACAGAGAACGAAGGGGAGCGAACGCAGCTGGTGACAGACTCGGCTCCTCCTGCATTAGCTTTTCTCTGAGTCTTTCCAGCCCAAGCACAGGACATTTCCCAGTGCTGCCGACACAGCCAACGAGAAGCCGTTGCGATCTGGGGAAGCTTCAGTTGACCTCATGTCATGAGACAGGGTTTCCTTCACACATCATGCGATCTGCTCACCCAAAGACAGCGATGGCAGGCA